TTACAGGTATGGTTAAACATTGTGTGAAGCATATATAAAATTGTGTATATATAAAATATAAAATTGTATATCAAAATAATGCCCTTCAAAACTTTTTGTTTTCCAATTCATACGCCACCTTTTCCCAGAACGGCTTACAGTATTTTAAAATCACAGATTAAAAAACGGAACAGCCGGTATTATGATCGATACTTACCTAACAGTTACATTATCAGTCTCCGGTAAATATTAATGAAATGCATGATACAGTCAAGCCAATTCCTAAAGGCAGAAGCAGTCTCCGTGGACTGCTGCCCCGGTGAGCCAGGGGTCAGCGTGGCTCTTGATCTGTTCTGATGTTCGCAGCACCCACGGGGGGCTGCGGGGGTTTTGCTCCCCGGTCCAGGAAGAAGAGAACACCCCACAGCAACGACTCGGGGCCCTCAGCGCTCTTGGACCAATGACTCTGCATTCGCGTTCAAGCTTTTTCTTACACAAACTGAAAACTAAACCCGACTGCGCAAGACACGCTTGTCTATTGATCCATGTTTTTCAGAATGCTACCGAGGCGCTTCTCTGAATAAAGAAACAGGAACTAGGAAACAGGAATCAATGGTAGCCATGGAGTGAGATCCTGCTACTGCTCTGAAATAAGCAAATGCCGCAGTGGGAACGGGACGGAAGTCAGGACTCAGACAAGCTCCAGCTGCGCTCTGTAAAATGTGGACACTGCAGGGAAGAGACCGGTTGAGTGGTGAGAGGCGGACAGGATAAGCAATGCTGTAGTTACGGAATTCTTAATAAGTAGTTCTGTAGCGGAGACCCTTCATGCTGACGATTTAGTGGAGTTTCCATCGGCCACTTGGATTCTTTCGTATAACGCTGTGTTGCCCCACCACTTTCTCCCCCAGAGCCATAATGACTCAACACTACAACTGTAACAAGGACGCAGAAGGTACACTTAGCACAGATCCCCTGCAATGTTAAGCGGTAGCTTCTTGTCTTAATTACTTCCTGTTTAGGAGGCTCACGTGGTTTCAGTCATAGAGTTGCAGAGGCCATGGAGTCCAGCCCTGCTCACAGTGAAGCATTCCTGACCGGTGGCTCTCTCGCTGGGGGGGCGCGGACCACCGCTTCTCAGGGTCCTTGGCTCCGCTGTTAGGGGGTTTTATCTAACATCGGAATCTGCCTTCCTGTAAATCTTACAGCTGTTATCCCGTGACCCAAAACCTGGAATGAGAGGGAACAGGTTTTAACCGCCTTTCACGTGACATCTTCTCAGATATTTGAAAATTGTCACCCTATTCCTGGTCAGCCATCTTTTCACAGGGCTAAACGTGCACTGCTCCCTCATTCTCTTGGTCACCTAGTCATTCTCGGTCTTTCTCTGAGCCTCTCTTGGTTTGGTACCCCGAAGTGGATACGGGACTCAAGGTGGGGCCAGCCCAAAGGAGAAGGAGAAGGATAACTCCCCATGATCTGGAAAGCTTTTGGTGATGCAGCCTAAAACGGCATCTCCCTTTTTTGCAGTTACGACACTTTTCTGGCCTATGTTGGGTTTGTAATCAAACTGCAGTCAATAGCTGCAAAAAATTCTTGGAACAGAATATCAGGCCAAGTCTCTGCTACACCTGTCTGCTTCAACTTTGCTTCCTTAGGGGAAAACTTTGCATTTGTCTCTGCTACATTGCATTTGTTCGCATTCAGCCCGCTTCTCAAGCCTATCAATGATGTTTTGAATGTTATTTCTCTCTTTTAGGGTGTTTGGTCTCTCACACACAATTTTATCATTTGCCCATTTGATAAACGTTCCCACCACCTCTTCATCCAAGTAGTTAATAAAAATATCGAAGAGTAGAGCATCAGGTCTGATACTTACAGCTCTTTTGTTGATACCTCTCTCTGAGTTGATGAGGAAACTGATGAGCGCCTTTTGCGGGCGATTTCTAAGCCAGCCTTTTGTCCATTCAATTGTTGGGCCATCCAGCTTATATTCTACCAGCTCACTAATCAGCACATCTTGGGGTGCTTTGTCAGATGCCCTGCTCCAGTAAAGGCATGTCATGTCTACGGCGTTCCCCATACCTGTTAAGGGAATTACCTGCTCAGAAAATAGGATAAGGGTAGTCTGGCGAGATTTATTCTTGATGTGTCCCTCAGTTATCTGAACTAAGCAGGAGAGGAAGAGCATTGACGCCTTTGGAGAAGACTCCTGAGAAGACTGTGGACAGCCAAGAAAACAAACCGAGGGATCATCGAACAAATCGACCCAGAGTTCTCCCTCGAGGCACAAATGACCCGGCTCACATTATCCTGCACATTATGTGAAGACCCCGGTCTCTGGAGAAGGCCCTAATGCTGGGAGAGGTGGAAGGAAAGAGAAGAAGAGGACGACCAGCAGCCAGGGGGATGGACTCAGTTATAGCGACTGTGGGTGCTTCATTGGGAGACTTGAAGGACCAGTTAGGGAAAATTCGTCAGGGAGAAAATCTATCTATGTGGTCGCTAGGAGTCGCAAACAACTTGATGGCACCCAATCAATCAGCGTCTAGTAAAGTGTTGTCCAAACTTGGCCACTTTAAGATGAGTGGACTTCAACTCGCAGAATTCCCCAGCGCTGGCTGGGGGATTCTTCGAGTTGAAGTCCCCTCCTCTTAAAGTGGCCAAGTTTGGA